CTTGGTCGCGAGCGCATCGCTCACGACACGTCGGGTCCGTGGTTGATGCCGACCGTGTGGAAAGCTGTCGGCCGACGAGAGCGCCTCAGTGCGCGCTTAGCAGTCGTCACAGGCGAATGTTTGACGGCACTATGGATACGAACGAAGCAAAGAACGTGAGGTCCTGACCGAATTCTTGTCACTGTACTGTGATTTACCATGTCTTAAATGCCATGCCATATTTTTTTATAGGATAGGGTGACAAACGAGCACACAGTCCACCTGATGGTAAGTACTTGCCGCGGCCCATAGACATCTACATCTATCCTCGATTACGAATCAAAATGCAGATGCGTTGTCACCCGTGAGGACTAAGATGGAATGCCTCGTTTTCAGTAAAAAGGGTCTCCGGTCTCTACACTCACCATACGAAACACAGCAGCGTTAAGCTACTATTTTAAGCTGGTATTCTATGAGAGAGTGGTCCTTCCCCGGAGCCAACCCATTCGTGCTACAACTATACTACTAATATAACTGCAGTATGGCTCTACCACGTATAACTGTTTAAAGTAATGCGCTCTTTCAGCCACAATTTCATCCATTTTCTTTTTTTTTTTTTTTTTTGATCTTCACTCAAGCATAGAAACGTTAAAGCTAAACCGATTTTTTGTTGTTAAGAAAAGCAAGGAGCCATTTTTAAAAGTAACTACCTTACGTCTTTACTCTTTAAATACCAGAGACAACTGACAAGTTGAGTCAACCACCCGACCGTGTAGAACGAATACAAAAATCAGTTGACCCGACCAAGGTCACGACAGTTGGTGGTTGGTCCCGACCGTGTAGAAGCGCTTTTAGGTTGCCTAAAGATACGCTGACAGACGTGCTCATTACTAGCACGAAAGCATGCTTTTATTGAGCAAGTGGTCATTATTAGCACGTGTGTACACTCATTGCTAATAACGAGCATGATTATTTTGAGCATGCTCAAAAATTAACTGACCTTTGATTTTCGAGCATGCTACCTGTGTCGCGGGTAGGAGGGGGCGTGCTCCGAGCGCGTTTGAACAGGTTTACTTATAATTATTTTCAATACGATTATTTTATAGAGTTCTGTACGGATAGCACTGTCACTATATCTTTGTACATCCATTTTGGTCGAGAGCCTGGTGCTAAATAGCACGTCTGTCTAAAGTTTGCTTTGAGCATGCATATTGCTGGCAAATGTGAACAGTTGCAGAGCATGCTAATTTTAAGCAAGCTTATGAGCATGCTTTTTTTGAGCACGTCTGTCAGTACCAATATGCGTTGAACCGAACGAACGAATGATATCTTTCTACACTTTTAATAAAGTTATCTTGCTTTCCGATAAAATAATAGCTAAAGGTGCAATTTTAGCATCGGTGTCATATCTTTTTTTTTAAATATAAGTATTTTATTTTCATAAAGCATTTTGTAAATACGTATTTTGCATTTATTTTTTTTTGTATTTTGTATTTGAAATAACAAAATACAAAAAGTATTTGCATTTTGCATTTAAATACATTTTGTAACCTATTTTGCACATCTCTGATTATTTGTATGAATTCATGTCTTTTTAAACTATTATGAGTCAATAGAAGTAGTAGTCAAGCTACTATTCCAACTGTAAAGCTTGGAAGTGGAGGTTTTTGAATGAAAATTAATTATGATTTTTTATTGTAATTGAATAATGTTACTATTCATATTGATAATCGATGCATATTAATTGTTTTCAAATAATTTATAATTAATTATGTTTGTGTAATGTAATTGTAATTTATAAAATTAAAAAATATCACGTGATTACAAAACGCGCCTGAAGTGGCTGCCATATTTGTGACGTCATTATGTTAAAGCATTGTCAATAAGGAGTACAGACTGTGTATTAAAAAGTGTCCGTAGAAAACCGTTAAATAAGGGTGGCGCCACTATAGCTACGGGGTAAATTTTAAAGAACGCGCCGAAAAATATTAGTGGGATAGATAGATTTCTCCAGAACAGTCGACACGTCGTCGGTTTTGATCTCAAAACATTTTTTTTTTCAAAAAACCAATTATTGTTTCTATGGCGTACAGATAGTTGTTTGAAGTCTCGATGTTCGTTCATACGCTATTAACTTATGTAAGTCGCCACCAAGATGCAGGAGAAAATCCTAATGTGTTTATTTCTTTTAAAAAGGATTTTTTTTAAATGGAAAGTGTCCCATGTGCCTCTTACAAACTCACAATCTGAAAAAACGGATTTTGAATAAAGCAATGCCCGAAAAAGCTAAAGACAAAGGAACCTCCTAATGACTGTAGGCGGCGGAATTTTCTCGTTAGTATGAGTACCGTGGGGGGAGGATAAAATGGAAAATGAATATTCATAAATTATGAAAAATTCTAAGAAAATTATTACAATAGTCTTACTATTGTAGGCCACACTGCGTTAAAACGTCTATAATATAATATAAGGTATTAAAAATGCTTGTTAACTTCCTATTGGTTAATGTTTATTCGTTAAGGTTTATTTTTTATTGAAAATGACGCCTGTGTTGATAGTCAGTACCGTAGTACCTACCATTTTGGTTTTGGAACTCGGTTAAAAAAGGCATGGTTTGGCTCCTTTTTTAAGTTAACTAAAAATGGGCTACAGAAGATTTTCAATTTACAGAATTATGCACTTGCAAGAATTAATCATAATGATGAATAGAAATAATACCAAATTATGATAGGCACTCTGCTTCTCGTTTTAGCACCGATCTTATATCGAAATAAGACATATCATCACAATTTATTAAAAAGTTATTCAAATTATTTTGTAATAACTTTGTTCAAATTCAATAAAGAGTTATTATATATCTATCTATCTATACTTCCATAACTTAACAAACACCTGTGTGTGTGGTTTTTGAAGATATTTGATAATATAAGTAGGTATTATATAGTAACATTTGCTTGATTTTTGGTGAATTTATTTACTTAATTGAATTTAATGTCAGGCATTGAAAATGTGAAACACTAGGTGCTACGATTTTGTTTTTAAAGTTTCGAGTAGCTAGGTAGGTACTTGTAAAAATTATTAAACTTAACTTTTCATTGGGTTTTATTATTTTATATCTTTGAGCAATATAGGGGAGTATCACAACTTCAAGGTTACTATTAGTGTTGTTTAAATAGGTACGTCGTCATCCCATATGTTTAACCATTACCGATAGATTAGATCTCCCCTCTTGAATGAAAAATTTCATGATTAAAACTACTTTTACGGATTTTATCGCATTTATTTTTGCTTTTAATTACTTTTATTTTTAATTCCCGACGTTTCGGGCGCTTTCCAGCACCCATGGTCACGGGGGACTGAGATGACTGACGTCCCGATGTCATTGTTAAACCCGGAGTACCTTCAGCTTTTTTAATTATTGTTTATGGTCCGATCTATGCAAAATGAACTGACTATGTCTTGAGGTCTTGCAGTGGTATGCTTGGGTTTAGTTTTAATTTTATTGATTATAGGATCCCAAGCAGGTGGTAGTACCCAGCCTCCTTCTCTATTGAAATTAGGACGTTTTTAATTTCAATAGCCTCACGTATCATCCTTGGTAAGAATCGGTGTTCTTCCGCGAGGATTTGTGGTCTATCAAATCCGATGTAATGGTTGGGGCCGTCCAGGATATGATCACAAACTGCAGAAATGTGTAAGTGTTCGCGTAAATATAAGAAATCATTATGAAAAATTTCATTTAAATCGGCCCAGTCGTTTCTAAGAAATCAATGAATATGCATAAGGAACATATGTACTTGTCGAATATAGAACCTTCAAATTTTTTTGACCCCGGTCACCTTATACTTTAAAAGAGCAATTCTCATATTTAATTCATAAATGAGATACTTAATTATAATGTTAAAGACAATGCCTGGACTGGTCGTTGAAATCAAGAAGCTCCTACAGAAAACCAGTGTTTCAGATCACATTGTGCTAAGTTGAAGACCCATTTGGCATTACCACACAAGGGTATATTTTCGGCTTTAATATAAAAGAAATTATATATAATTAGTGTTTACATAATGTGTTTCCGAAAAAATGCTCTTACTTCTTTATGATGATGAATTCTCGTATAATTATTCAGCTTATGAAAAAAGATTCTCGTCCGGTGGGTATCATTAGTGGTGAATATGAGAAATGGCAGAAAATCTTATGACTTCCGTTCTTTGAATACTCAAAGCTTCCGATAGATGGCGGTATAAAATCTTATTTCTACCAAACGTACTCAGATCGGTGACGGACAGCACTGTCAAAAGTGCAAGACGTCTTGTATTGCAATCAATCCGCCTGCAAAGCGTGATGATTAAGCCAAACCGTGCAAATCTAGTTGCGTGGTAGAGCCATGTTGCAATTATATTATGGTTGTAGCACGAAAGGGCTAAGCTCGACCTGGAAAGGTTCCCGCTCTCACCGAAAACCAGCATAAAATGTTTATGTTTCTGTAATTCTTATGGTAAGTATAGAGAACCAAAGACTCTTATCTTTAATTTGGCTGGCATTCCACCTTTATCCACAGGGGTAACAACACTTCTGCATTTTCATTCTTAATCGAGGATAAATTCAAATGTCTATGGGCCACAATATACACTTAACATCACTCTTATTCTATAAAAAATATTTCTTAGACCAGACCAGACCAAGAAGTGAAGCTTAATCGGGGTAGTTCTACGTTTGGCTGAAAAATTAGCAACATACAACCTCCGTCCATAAGCTGTCCCTGTTCTGTCTTAAAATAGCCACGGGTAACGACTGTCATTAGCGCTAAATTTCATCATCATTAAAACTCTTAACAAGTTGACATAGATTGTGTAATTGGTGTGGAGGCAATAAAATGTTTTTGAATGTGAATAAGTGTCACGTCATTACTTTCTCACGTAACAAAGAACCTTATTTATTCCAATATAAGATAAATAACACACTTTTAGAACTGGCTTACAATATTCGAGATCTTGATGTTATGATTGAAAGTAGATTAAGTTTTAATACTGAGCTTCTATACTATTGTACACTTCTAGTCTGTCTATAAGTAACTCTCTGGCGTCTTTGTCCAATCTAGTCTTCCTTAGCAGTCCGTCTCTTGTTTGCTGCAGTTTTCTCAACGCTTGACAGTCGACTTTTGGAAAATTGCCTTTACAGAGCTCGACTCTACAGGTCAGAATCAAGTATGCTCTATTTGGGAACTTGAAGGCGGAGAAGATGGCCACGGCGTGTTGATACGTCATAATGTTCTTGAACATTTATTCGGCGTCGACACTTTAGCTTCATGCTCGTTGTTTCGTCAATGTTTACATAGGTCGATAGATGCAAAAATGCCACATAACACGGTCTTGAGTGACTTGCATCCATGGACTTTCTGCATGTCTTACCAGATCTTCACTAAATAAAGAGGGGGCCGTCCTACACTTCGCTTATCGGTACGACGATTCTTCTATTCGAGAACCTTTCTTCCCCATCGGTTGTATGGCCGGCCCATTGCCATTCAGCTTACTTATCAATTTGTCTACGTCGTTTCTACTGTGGATATCATCATTTCGAATTTTATCACGCAGAGAAACTCTGATCATGACCCTATCCGTACATCGCAGGGCGATCTTGGGCTTTCTCTCATACGGCAAGCGGTGAATGACCACTCTCAGACTCATAAATAATTACTGCCAGCACGCACTGGTTGTACACTCTTGTTGTACGGGTACTCGGGTCGGTACAAAAAAATCAACTTTTGAGTATTTCCGTCAAGAAATTCTCGGTAGCTGCCCGGAGTCAGGAAGTTGGCGGTGTCTCACCCCCGTGCCGCGGAAAGCACGTAAAGCCGTTGGTCCTGCGCCTGATCTCTCTCCGGTCGTGTCGGTTTACCGTCCCATCGGATTATGAGAGTGAGGGAATAGAGAGTGCACCTGTGCTAGCGCATACACTTGGGCACTGTAATCCTGTCCTGCGCCGATGGCTAGTTTCCGTTGAGGCTGGCCGCCGTGACCGAAATTGGGTCTGGAGGACATTGTTATTTTAAGTGTTGAAAATTACGTGACGAGAAAATGTATCGTCATCTACCGAACACTGCCTAGCCGAATTAGATCCGACGATTGACCTTTCGGTCAAAGTTGGACTAACCTAGTCGTACAGTTTTTCCTAGGTATATATATTCGTCAACAACTTCAAGCGTATTGTCCCCAACAATAACTGGCGAGAACACTATTGAGATCAATGCGAATAGGGTAAGGTATCTAATTCATTCTACTTTAATATAATTGGACTACGTTGAGCAATACATCATATGTCTTGACATTTATTACAATACGATATACTCGTCACTTGTTGCTATTTGTCTGGGTCACTCGTCTCAGGGACATACGTTTTTATTTAACCGAGTTGTTACATGCCAGTGTTTAAATGAAGTAGGTTAGGTGTGTCATTTATCAACAACTAGTTCTAGTAAGTAATCATGACATCTTCATAATTACTCTTAGTTAAATATGTATTTATTGAGTTCTAAACATAAGATTACACTAAGTACTTTTGTCTATATTTAGCAATGTTTATGTAACTTCTCACGGAGCAAATACTTTTCCTTCTTTCCTTCTGCTTCTTTAATGATATCCACATTTTGATAACAATAATTAACTCGTTGCGTTTTCAATGATTCATATTCAATCTTCGGAAGTTCTGGACACTTTTCATATAAATTTCTTAAATTTGTATGAAATGTTTCTTGTTTTATTCAAGGGTGAAAACGAGCACACGGTTGCCTGACGGCTATCTGCAATTACGAATCCAAATGAATATCTCGTCACCTCTGAAAACTATGGTGGACGGAGGTCATTTTTCTGCTAAAGAGGCATTAATTAACAGTAAAATGGTGTCCGGCTGTTCTCGTCATTCACCAAACAAAAGATAGCAGAATTGTGCTTTTACTTTAGAATAGCAATCTGTGAGAGCGCGGCACTTCCCCTGTTGGCTAGCCCATTCATGCAGTTTAATTTAAATACATTTGTAATTGATTGTATTTTATAAAAGATTTTTAAAAGCCATTTTAATTGCACTCACAATCGCGTCGGTCAACACTGACACTTCACTCGCGTGTGGTTTTGACGTTAAGTCGCGCTCGATCCCTGCTTCTGAGCGGCGTGATTCCTTAGGCGCTTCCTTGTCAGCCACGTCTGGCTTCACTTCGCTAACCGGCGCACTCATAATTGAATGTTTAACCCTTGCGAATGTTTTTACTTGAGCACTATGCTCCTCATCATCTCCGCTCGAGTCGATCTCCTCTCCGCAAAATATATACATATTACAAAAGTACATATTAAAACATTAAGAAAAAAAATAAGTAGCTCTGTAGACTACAAAAGTTTTGCTATAGTTTTAGTAATGCATTATATATTTAATAGGTACATAACAAAAATAATGATAAATTTTTATGATTTATTTACGTTTAAAAGTTTCTTAAACGCGTACATATCGTATTGTAATCTAGTTACCACGGCTACGTCTTAAACCTGGGTGATTTCGAGGTCACGAAAAGAGTACCGCGGCGGCCTAACTGCTTCATAATCTTCTCAGAAATCAGAGGAGGCCTGTGTCTAGTAGTTGTAAATATATAGGCTGTAACTCTACCACTTTTTAATATTAGCGCTACATAAATCTAATTTAGGGGTAATTTTAGACTAAAAGTAAAAGTAAAGTAAAGTTACAGCCTATATACGTCCCACTGCTGGGCACAGGCCTCCCCTCATTTCTGAGAGGGTTTTAGGGCAAGGAAGTGTCCGCTGCACAGCCCCAATGCATGTTGGCGAACTTCACATGTCTTCGAAATATTTTTTTTCTTATTCCTCAGACATGCAGGTTTCCTCACGATGTTTTCCTTCACCGTCGAGCACGTGGTAAATCAGCACTTAAGATTGCAATTAACAATTTCATTGGTACCGGCGGGGTCGAACCCGGGTTACTCGCGTTCTGTTGTATTTACAGCATGCTTTAACCATCTGAGCTACCGCGGCTGTTTTAGACTAAATGAATAGGCTATTGTATTGTATGGTCATATGTATTGGCGAGCAATTTGTTTGAAATAGTTTGGAGCCCAGACGAATAAATCTTTAATGAATTATTTAGTTTTATTATACAATTGTATGTAATCATTTACAATATTTGTTTAGTTATTTTTAATTATAACTCGAATTTTTAACGTTCAGTTCCGCCATTTTTATTGTATGATAACGTCATCATAGTTTATGAAAAACTCAAAACAATAACTATACTTTAGTTATTGTTCTTATATATCTAATATCCGCGCAATTATAATGAATCAAATAATCTATTACACTAATATGAAATGGTAACAGGCCGGCCATATAGCACGAAAAACCGACAACCGATGGGGGTGAAAAATTTTCGAGTGGCAGACTCGTACCCGCAGGCGAAGTGTATGGCGTCGCCCCACTAGATGGAGTGACAACCTGGTAAGACCTGCAGGAAGTTGATGGATACAGGTGGCTCAGGACCGTGCTTTGTGGCATTACTTGGGGGAGGCCTATGTTCAGCAGTGGACTTGTGAAAAGCTGTAATGAGATTTATGAATGATGAATTTATTTATATTTGTGAAAACTGCCAAAGTATTACAATAATTTTAGCTTTCGCAGGCGTATAAAACAACAATAATAATCTAAAAATTAAACTTTCCAGCAAAATGGTCACTTTTTATTTTAATCATCATGGAAGTAAACAATAAATTACAAGGAACGTTTTCAAAATAGTGTTCTCTATTTCTGCTTTTTTATAATCCTATACCTTTAAACGAGCAATTCTTGTATATATATATATACACAATATCGTTCGAATAAGAAGGTAAATTTTGACAGTTTATTAATGATTACAAATAGCTTAATTGGTATATTGGGCGGTCACGAAATCGTAATGCCATGGTTCGAGCTCAGACCGACCGACCGACTTTTTTTAATTATTTTTTAAGTTCCTTTCTTTTTTGAGAAAATCTATTTTTTATGCCCTTTTTTAGTATTTCATCAAAAAATATTATTCGTATTTCATCAGTATGTAATTTGTATCTAAATATAATTTCCAAAACACACGAATTAAAAAAAAAACCGAGCGAAAAATACCGAGCAAAGCTCGGTCAACCGGGTACTATTCTAATAAAATGAGCTCATGGGCGTTTATTTATATCATAAAATCAAGGTAAAATGTATGTGTGAAATAAAGCTTGCATTTTGAGTTATTAGTTATTTAATATTGTGTGATTCGTTTTCCTGTACCAGTATTATTATCATCGCTCAGCAAAGGAATAATGTTCCCGCAACAGGTGATGCGCTGGCTGGCGGCCAGGGAATCGATATTTCAAATACCCTTATATCGGAGGATAGGTGAAAGTTGATTTGGGGAACTTACACCGTGATATCTCAATCGACTGTCATTTAAATAAATTGATAAATTTATCTTGACTGTCTTTTAAGTCCTCTTATACTTATAATAATACCCTACTAATGTCTGATATTGCATAATCCAATATGGATTTATTGACCGTGTTTAAAAGTAAAATCTCGTTTGTCCCCCATTCCGTGAAAATGATAAAAAAAGGATGGAAAAAATCCTCATCATCATTACAGCCCTTTACAAGTTTACTGTGGAACATAGGGAGGCCTAGGCCGAGGAATGCCATGAAGCACGGTACTGAGCCACCTGCATCCGTCGACCTCCTGCGTGTCTAAGCAGGGTGTAACTCTCTCATCTAGGAAAAAATGTTAAATGGTAATAGCCTCTAAAAAGCTTGGCGTACTTTGTAGAGCGGGACAGTATTTCATGCCGGTACACCGTTTGCAACTTTACAAGGCGCAAGTTCGGCCTTTTTTATAGGAGAAGGAGGAAACGAGCATACGGTGTTGCAGCTATTCATGAGCAGCGGTAATCACTTACAATCAGGTGAGCCGTGTGCTCGTTTGCCCCCTCTCCTATAAAAAATACGGCTCACCTGATGGTAAGTGATTACCGCCGCCCACGAACAACTGCAATAAAGGGAGAATTACAGATGCGTTGCCGGCCTTTTAAAAAGGAGTAGAGCACTTTTCTTGAAGGTTCTTAAGTTGAATAAAACTAAATTTACGGATTTTATCGCGTTTATTTCACTACTTTTACTTATTTTTAATTCCCGACGTTTCGGGTGCTTTACAGCAACCATGACGGGGTGGCAAAGATTTTTGAATATTAATTTTTGGTCCGATTTACGCAAATATTC